ACTAATAGTTAAAAAATGTATTTAACTATTATGCTTTAATTAAAATATATATAATGAATCTTATATTTTTTTAAAAATACCAAATGACAATATATATTTGAAATGATTCAATGACAAAGTATGTAATTATTAACCAGTTGTATTTATATAAACTTTAAACACTATAAAAACTCTAGTTTATTCTACCAACTCAAAAATATTAATATGAATAAAATATTTTTTTTCTTTTATATTCATACTAAGTGGGTTTAATTGTGTAAAATATACAATGATTAAATTTAGCTAAAAACTAAATTTTTAGATCATATTTATTATTAGATTATTTTATAATATTTCACAATTCATTTTTTTTTCTTTACCTTTGTTTTTACAAGTTTAAAAATTATATAATTAACCTTTTTTGTACTTTTTTTTTTGTTAAACATTAACATTTTATTAAGGACAAATTTAAAATACAAGGGATACTCTAATCCATTACAACTCTAAAGAAAATTAACAACACATGTCAAGTAACCATTAATTAATCTTCTCAAAGGTCCTGCTGCAAGCCACTTCTAAGAACAATAATTAATAGAATCAAATATTTCACTAGCATTTAATACATTATTATTGAAGAGAATATTATTCCACTGAAACCAAATTGTTTATATTACTGCAAAACATACCATTAGAACTTTCCTCTATTTCTTTTTTCCATATTGGATTCCACACATGCTTAGTAATGTCTCTGGCTATATAAGCATAAACTGATACTAAACCATTTAAATATCATGTATTACAGTTTCATGGAGATACCGTAATGCAAAAAAAGATGCAATATATTCTCATCTTTAGTATCATACGACCCTATAAGCTTATGAGGGAACCGTCAATCTACGTGTTAAGTTCTTCTGAACCAGAACTATATTAAGCAATAGACGCCAAACGGATATCACTAACTTCCTTAACGTACTGATCTTCCAAATCTTACGTAAGACCTTCATTAGACCCAGCTCCAAACCGTTACCTGTCGTGAAGAAATGATGAATGCAATGATAAGCGGATTGCACACTATATTGTTCTTGTTACCATCACACTTCCACATCAACATATCATTCACATTTTTTCTCAGCCTCTTACCCTACATAATTTCTCACAACTACTGTTGTAAATTTTCTTTCCATAAAAATAATTGTCTTCTCCAAGGAATTAACCTTTTGTACTTAGTGCCTTTAAAAGTTTTTTTTTTTTTTGCATTATATGTCCAAATCATCTTAACTAATTTCTTTTCATCTTCTCCTTAATATGTGGTATAATATTCTCTTTATATTTAATTATTTTTAATCATCTCTTTTATTGTATAGTCACACATCTATTATAATATTCTTATCTTTAAATTCATGTCTTTTTTTTTCACATATTTTCCTTTTAAAACATAACAATATTCACTAATAAAAAGGATAGTTGATCATACTACACTTCGATCAAACTTCTTTTTGAGCTTGACAAGTAATACTTTGTAGTTACCTAATTACATTTTAAGTGTAACATCTTTATTAAATTTATTTTTAATATTTTGTTAAATAAATCCTTAATATTTAAACTTAAAAACTTGTTGTATAACATCATCTCCAATTTAACATGTAAATTATTCTTATTTTGTTTCTTGCTAACATTGCAATGTATTTTATCTTACTTTTACTTAACAAAAAACCTTTTGATCTCAATGTTTGTCTTCATAGTTCAATTTTAAAGTTAACATCTTTCCTTGCCTCTTCAAGATGACTATGTTATCTACAGAAAACATGCATCTAGAGATAATATTTCAAAGTCTTTCACAATGTTTCTTTTGACATATGATCATATAGTTTTTTCTGGTTAATAAAAAGTTTATGTAAGCTTTTTTATTTTGTTTTCAATACTTTTCTATCAACTTCCTTAAAAGATACATAATTTCTTATAAAAGATCTTGATATAAAACCAAGCTAATTCTTTACAATCTTAATCTATGCATAATCATTTTTTTTCATAATTTCACAACTGAGACTCAAAATATTCCTACTTCACTCATCTAATATTTTCTTAGTTCTCAAAATCCCTTAAATAAATTAATAAGTCAAATGATTCTCCTATAGTTTTCAAAATACAACTTTTCTATCTTTCATCTTTTTAAGGACTTCTTTTACCTCTCCTACTCAAAGTCTATAATAGCATGCCAAATTACTATCCTTTACTTGGATTTCTAAACATTCTTCTATATTACCAATTGATCTTTACTTGGAAAATTTATAGAAATATCTCTCTTATCTTTCTTTAATCTTAATTTGTAATCAATTTTTTTCTTCACTACACAATTTTAGATTTTTTGAAACAATAATTTGCAGAGTGAAATAACATAATTATTCTTTAAAAGTGACTTTACAAAGTGAACACTACATAATCGACCTCTAAAAATAAATTTAGATAGCAGTTATACATAATTGTTATCTAAAAGACTAATTGCTATTTAAAGGTGACTTTGAAGAGTGGGTATGTACTAATCACTTTTTAAAGTCGCTTTTGAGAGCAATTATATATTAACGACTCTCTAAAGGTCACTTTAGATAGCGGTTAAGTATAAATTGTTCTTACATATTAAAATTTTTAAAATTCTCTAACTACTTCTAAATTATAAACATGCAAGAGTGAAATACTGCTCAACTTGTAATAATAGTATCATTTCTTCTTCATCTTCTCTTGTCACCTTCATCTCTTTTTTCACTATCAAATATGATTCATTAGATCATTGTAATAAAGACTAAAATGTGTTCCTTCTACTTTATCAAGTTTGGCCTTGAACATAATAATAAGTACCTTTATCACTTCTCTCTTTCTTTCTCTCTCTGTTAACTGTGTTAGATTTCATATATCAACCTGTGAAGGAAGAAAATTTAAATTTTAGATTACAAACTCAAATTTCAATGTAACAAAGAATCATTCAATTTGCAATACTTAGAGAGCAGTTATAAAAACTATTTTTAAGTGACATTTGGAGAGCAATTATGAAGTACTCTCCAAATGTATTTACTTTACATAGCAGCACTTGTTAAAGTAGTTTGAACTGCTCTATGAAATAATGCAGAACTTTTCTCTAATATCATGTTGTAGTGTTTGTTCATCTTTTATACATCTTTCTTGATTTAAATTTTTTGATTTATTTTTATGAAAAATTTATATATCTATGATTCTTCATTTTTCATCTTTAAGATCGTAAAAATAAAAAAATCTTCAAAAGTTACTAGCAGTGTCTCGAGCTAATAAAATAGGCTACTTGACCCATTCAACCTAGCCTATAACGACTTTTGATAAATTATACTAAAAAAAGTCTAAATCCAATTTGAACTTGCAAAAAATAATATAAAAATTGAGTAAAATTTGATTTTAAAATAATTTTTTGTAAACTTAACTGACATTAGACTTAATTAGATCAAGTTAAAGACTCAAGTTCAATAATTTAGACTCAAAATTTAAACTTCAATTCCTACATTTTGTCATGTGGGCTTAGGTATACCCATTTTATCAACTCTAATCATGTTTCAGTCAAATTTTTCTTATCTCATTCTAAAATATCATATCTTACCCAGTTTTCTATATTAGTGCACTTATATAAAGCTTTAAAATATTTTCTCTTGTCTTTAATTTGTTTCTTAGACACTTTTGTCTTAAATTAAATTAATAAATTTAAAAAATAAAAAATATGTTAAAATTCAATGTTGCATTATAGTGACAATTTTTTAATTGAATATAATGTTTATTTATAAAATTTTTAATGTTTTTAATAAATAAAATATTACCAAAATAAACAATATTGAATATTATATTAATTTATATTTATTTATCTATTTAGAATATAAAAAACAAGTAATATATAAATAGAGTAAATAAAAAATTTAATAATATAAATGAGATATTAAATTTGAAAAATAAAAATATAAAAAAAAATGTCATATCACTTTATAGTAGAACTTATCATTGACATTATACTAAAAGAATGTCAATATTAATTTATGGATATTGTATGATTAAAGAAGGTGAAAAATTTTAAATTGAATTTTTTTAAAAACAATTGAAATATTCGAAAATAAAAATATTAGATTGAGTCAAAGCAGTAAACACACTCATTCATCTCACCATACTAATAATGCCAATTACTTCGGATGAAAATTTTTAATTTTTAAGTATTTGCTATTTTTAATTTGTACAATGAAGAATTTCTTTATTATTAGATTTATTATAAATATTTTAGCGGTTTGTTTTTCATTCGTCACGTGAACTAGTAATGTTTTGATATGAAAAATGTTGTGCATAATTATCGAAAAAAATTATCTCTTTATTTTTAAGTATATTATAAAAATATATGTATTTAAAAAAAATCTAAATAATATTATATATACAGTATATTTTCAATTATTCAAATAACAAAATTAATTTTATATGAATGATTGTCGTGAATCCTAATATAACCAATTAAAATAAAACACATTAACAAGAAAATGAGGATACAAAACAGTTAAATACATGATGTATAACAGTAGTCATTTCATGCACCAGGAAAAACAGGCAATAGAGCAAGAACAATTCACATACAAATTGATCATTACAAATTTTATAGACATTAATTTCATTACATCCACAAACACCCACATAATCCTCACACGCTTTATGAGATTTGTTACGTCAATAGGTAAAATTATGCCATTTCGATATTCCAAAAAGGAGAAAAGTAATAATATTTACATGTCAAGAGCAAAGCGCAAATAATCAAATATGCATTGATCATTTAAAAAAGTACTACATACTAAAAAACTACACAAAAGTTTCCCTCGTCTCAAAAAACAAACCCTTTTGTAAAAGCTACTATAAAACATTTTTCTTATATATTTATATATCTTCACGTTTTTTTTCTTTTCAAAGTCTAATTTTGTTTTTGCATTGTGTCTGATCCGGCATTGAGGTGGCGTGCAGGAGCAGAAGAAACGGGGTCAACAAGCCGCAGAAGGTTGACGAGATTGAAGGGAAGGCGAAGGTACTTTAGCGGACAAAGTGGCGGCGACGGTGGCGGCTTTGTCGGCGGTGGTGGTGACGCGCTCACAGCGGGGACACATGGTGAGTGTGGATGCTGGGAGTGGCTCGCAAGTGTGAGGAGAAATGACAGTGGGTGGACCCACCTTCATAGCCCTCAGTTCCTCAACTTCCCGCTGAAGCCTTCGGTTCTGCTCTGTCAGTGACCCAAACCACCTCTTTAGGTACTCACACTCCATCTCTGTCTGCTTCAGCTTGCTTCTGCATCGCATATATGTCAACTTTATTCATTAGTCAACTCCCCATTAATTGCTTTACATATTGCATGGGTCACACGCCTTCATTCATATTCATCCCTTTGCCCTTTGCCTCTCCATTCTAGGGGAAACTACTTTGCCTCTCTTAGTGAGAAAATAACAATGTTATTTCATACTGAGATTCTAAAAAGGGTCTTTGTAGGTGTTAATTAATAAATAATAAATCTATATAAAAAAATATGAGAATAAATATATTTTATATTTTTTAATTGCTTTTTTTTAAAACACTTGTTATTATTATTTTTATAAAAATACTGAGGATGCTAGTAATTATTATTCTGTTAAAAATTGTAAATTATGATATTTATATTTTTATTGTAATTTTTAATGATTTTATTATAACTTTTAATAAAAAATTATAATTAACTTTTTAATTAATAGTTTTAAAACACTTGTTAATAAAATCTTAAATAGTGAGAGGTCTTTAAAAAGTGCAGTATAAAGGTCTGGAGGTTGTGGGCACAATTCTCATATGCCGCAACTCGCTACATGTTAAAAAGAGATTTTATAAATTTTATTTTTATTTATGAAAGAGAAATTATAATTGTATACTTATTTTAATAAAATTCATAAGACAATATAATAAAATAAGTTTTCATAAATCTAGTCAAGAAATTTCACATTTAAATATATGAATGAGTTATCGAATTTATTAGATAAATACTTAGTTAAATTATTTATTTAAATGCTTTATACAAGATAATTTATAGGAAAGTAATCCTTACAAGTGAAGAAAACATGAAACATGTTTTCTTTTCTTTTTTTTCTCTATCATATTGCAGTAAAAGCAATATCGCAGAAGACATGATCCAATTAAATATGCAGATATTAAGGGACAAAGACGATTATTAAGAAATGAAAATTTTATTATTGGGAATAGGTGAAGAAGCCCTTTGATTTTATGGATACGTGTTGATAACTTAATATATGATGCTTAATACTAAAAATTCATGATGAAATCAAATGCATGGTTGGTCCAAAGTACTACCGAAACAAGTGGTCAAAGGAGCACTTATTGGAGTGATGATCAGTGTAGCACACGAGGCCAAATAAAACTCCACAAATGCGGTGCTATCATTATCGAGTTGTCTACTTTAATTTTGACAACAATGATTGTGTTTTTTTGCGCACAGCTGAAATTATGGTTGAACACTCGAACCACATCATTAATTGCTCATATATTTGCCTACCCAGCTACTCTAATGTCATTGCTATGTCTTCCTTACTTATTATCATCATCATCTAAGGTCACACAATATATATATAAAATTAAAAATTACAAAATCACATTTTTAATATTAATAAAATAAAATACTTCAATTTATAATAAAAATTTATTCTTTCAAATTGTAGTTTCTGTTGTTATTATTATTTAAAAACTTAAGTTACTTTTTCTAACTTCTATTAATAGTGTGATTAGTTTCGTCACATTTGAAACTTTTTTTTTAAAAAAAGAGGGTTTTTAAAAAAAAAGCAAAACATGTTATAAATTTTAAGTACAGGTTTGAATCAAGATTCGGTTAACAAGCTTATTAATAACCTATAATAATTTTTTTCTGAAGGAATTCACTTCCAAAATAGTAATTTTTTGTTCCGAATCATCAAAACCACACATGCAAGGATTGAAATATATGATAGATGAGAAATATAATAAAAAAGAATGTGGTAAAAATGCTGAGTGGGTAAATATATACACACACACACTAGACTTTTTTAAAAAGAAATTATTTTTAAGTACAGTTAGTTTTTTGACATACTTGTTTCTCGAGTCCTAAATAGGGCTGTGGCTTTCAACTTGATCCAAATTGAGCTTTATTTCATACCCGGAAAACATCTCCATTTCATTCTTCGTATGATCTATTATTAGTGGGGAATTATGTCAAGGAAGTGTAATTGCAAATGATCGCTTTCCACTTTTATTTAGAGATCGTACAGATTAATAAGGGGTATAGAATCAGATTCACATTCATCAAGTCTATATCATAATTATCATTATTCTACCTCTGTCAACATTTGATATTTGTCTTTGTGTGAGTGTATATATTATTCCCACAAAATGTGTGTAAGGATGAAATTATATTTTAAAGTCAGTCATAAATGACAAAATAAACGGCATTCTTCCATCACTTTAATTAGGATTAGCCATACCTGGCCCTACGGTTCTGAAACCACACCTCCACTTGCCTTGGTCGCAGCTTCAGTTGCATTGCCAAAGCCTCTTTCTGCTTCTATACAGAACCAAGAAATCAAGCACCGTTGGTTACATAGTGGAAATATGTCATGACATGACTCATATAATTAACGTGTTTAATGTATCTACAAATATGCTAAAAAAATTTATATGCAAATTTAATGCCAGAGAATTTACAATTAATAGAATTGAAGCGAATGATAACTGTGGACGTTTAAACATGAATTGATACATGTTATTAAACGATAAGCCAAACTGAATAAATGATAAGAGAGAGAAAGAGAGAGAGATTGGAGGGTTACTGGGTTTAAAGTGTGGTTTTGTCTGAAGCTTTCTTCAAGGAGACGGGACTGTTCCTTCGTGAGACGGAGTTTCTTGCGGGGAGGGTCTCCGTTGCTGCTTTCTTCTTCGTCTTCCATGTTTGATGCCATCCAATCTTCTTCTAGAGGTACTTGGTTTATGTCCAATTCCTTCACTGTAATACCAAACAGTGTCTTATATTTATAGATATGTACGTCCAAACAATAATTACAAACCAAAAACCATCATCTTCTATACATGATCCAAATATAAAGACAAAATTGGAAATATGATATATAACGACATCAGTTCTATTTAATCACCAACCAGAGAGAGAGGGGATGAAAAATAGAACCCAGGTGGTCGTGACTTTAATTTTAATCTAAGAAAGGGTAAGGAAAAATAAATTATCCCTTCCAAAAGAAAATACATATTTAAGAGAGGGGTCACTTTTATGATAGGAACAACTGTACTAGTAAATAAAATTAAAAGAATTTACCATAAAATTAAACAACAAAAATACCCAAAAGGGAAGGAAGAGGATATAAAAAGAGGTTGATCAAAATGACAAAAGATGAAGAAGAAGATGATGCTTGTAGAAAAAGATACAAAGAAAGAAACTTGTCTATGTATGCGGCTTACCAGATGATGAGGGAAGAAGGGTTGGTGAAGAAGCAAAACCTGGGACAGACATGGTCAATTCCAAGCTGGAGGAGCTTCTAGGTAAAACCGCCATAGAGGATGCTCAGAAATTAAAAGAGGAGGAAAATAATGAAGAGGATGAAAAAGATTGTGAAGAAGAAGAAGAAGAAGAAGATCTCAAATCAAAAAGGAGAGGAAAAAGGTAAAGTGGAGAAACAGAAGGGGACACACATGAAAAGGAGACAGAAGTAGCAAAGGATCTGATGAATTGTTTGGAAAGAAAAAGGTCAAGATAAATAGAAAGGTCAAATAAACAAATTAATAGAGGGATACTAATTAGTCGTACAACTTTATAAATAATTAATTAATACCCTTAAAAGGGGCATAGAAAATCAAAGAGAGGTTTCCCTGGGAAAGACGTATATTAACAGTTGTAGGTTTCTGACCATGGTCGTCCAAGTCAAAGGGTATGTCGCTCGAAGATGGTGACACGTGTCAGTGTAGAGTAAAAGAATAATAATTTTTTTATACACGAGAGTTCAGTAAAAACAGTCAATTTTTGTGAACTTTTTATACTTAATTATCATTTTTTTCATTTTAATTTTCATTATGTGTAATTTGTCTTACATTATTATTAATTGAGTCTATTTTTAAATTTTGATATTTATTCTTTTGTTGATTTTTTTTCTAAAAGATTCTAATTTTTCATTTTTTTTACTTCGTATAAATTGAATCAATTATGTTATCTTTGATTCAAAATTAATAACCAACTAAAATATCAAATTTCCATAAAAATAAAAAATTTCATTTTTTCTTTAAATTATAATTTTTCATCTTATAAAATCATTTAAATTTATCAAATTTTTAGTACATTTTTTATTTCTAATTTAAATATCATTTTATGTTCTAATTTTATTATAAATCCTCTAAAATTTTATAAAAATTAAAGGTTTTAAATAAAAAAATGAAAAAGTCAAATTTATACAATTAAAAAAATAGAAAAATTTAATTAGCTCTAAAAATTTTAAAAATTAAATTTACACATAGTTTAAGCTAGAAGAACTAAAAGTATACTTATTTCTTTTCAATCAAGTATGTCTAAGCGATAGTAAATAAAATATTTTCAAACTTATAAAAATTATTAAAATAGATTTTGTTGTTTTAAAAAATTTTATATGCACAATAAAAATATAAATTCTAACCATATAGTTAAGAAATTCAACTATCTACAAATATTTACAACTTGTGTTAATTTACTCAATTCTCTTTTCGTTTAAGATCTTGAACTATTTTTTTTTAATACCTACCTAATCCTTCTTTTTATAGATTACTCATTCCTTAGCTATGTTTTAATTAGTATATTTTGAGCTCTAAATCTATCTTAAGGAAAATGATTATTTTAATATATCAAGATAAAGGAATATGTACATCAAAACTGCCATAAAGGCCTTCAACTGTTCTACGTATAGTATGTAATATGACAGCAATTATTTTCTTACGCGATTTCTTAACTTTCTTTAGTGCTGATTTTTAATGAACTGTTAAATAATTATTGATTGAAAAATGAAAAATGTCGATTGATATTATAAAGATTGAAAGGGAGCTATTCAAATAGCTAGTGCAAAAAAAAAAAGTTCATGGTATGTAAAATTATGCATATGAAATAATAGTAATGCTGTTTACACTTTCTTTTGCATCATTCCTGCTTCACTTTTTTTATAACAAAAAACAAACACACACGCAAGTCACAACATATTCTATATTTTTTTAATGTTTATTTTTACAATTTTGTAGAAATAATCTAAAAATATTAATATCCAAACTACAAAGATCTTAAAAAATAAAGTATCGAAGTGCATTATAACTGTTACTTGTTCAAAATGGAGAATATGTTATTGAAAAAAAAAAAGAAGTTAAAATGATTAATATATATATATATATATATAAACATCAATTTTTACATGATAAAATTTATTCAAATATTTGTTATATAAAAATATATTTTTTAATACTTTATATACCTAAAATTAATTTTAAAATAAAAATAAAAAATATGAAAGTAAAAGGAATAAAAGGGAGTAGCTAGGCCTTAATGTCGGTTCCAAGGTCTGCTGGGGAAATGATTGGAAAGCCGTAGCTATTGGACCTTTGAGGGTTTCTCCGGTTTCCCTCTCAATACAGACCAACAAATTTCAATGGTCCCATTAAACAAACTCAGACAGACAAGTGGTTTTCACTTTTCTGTCTTTAGTCTTCCTAATGATCGTCATGAGAGACCCACAACTACTATTTTAATCGCATAGATTTTCCCTATTCATTTGACTTTTGTTTTCCTCCCACGCTAGGTGATAATTTGAGTTAAACACATTCACAAAAATATTTCACCACTTTAAAAAGGTTTCCCGTTTCCTTTCTCTTCTCATCTCAGAGATTATTTTTTTTATGTTCTATAAAAATTATTTATTTATTTGTTTACTAAAATTAATAGAAAATAATTATATATTATAAATTTATAATATATTTTAAAAATACTTACAATAATAAATAACAAAATTAATAACTCATATATTAAATAAATATATCTATTTTTACGAGCAACAAATGAATACTCAGTTAGTTGGTATAAATATCATGATAAATAAAAGTATAATAAAAAATTAATATATTTTAAAATAATTCTTAATTTTAATAATTAACATTAAAAGAATAATAATATTTTAAGAATAGAAAGAAAAGGCTGAAAGAAAACATTACAATGGGTAAATTCTATTTACAGTGTTATATACAAATTTGAGATAGTCATTAGTTGCATAACTGATTAAAAATATAAAAAATGTTAATATTACACTTTTTAATATATTTTTAAATATTGCCTAAAATTTATTAAAAATTATAAAAATATATAAAAAATGTTAAATTATGATTGATAAAGAGTAAAATTTAGATAATTTTGAATAGATTTTAACCGATAGTTAAACGTTTATTAAAGAATATATTGATGGGATTGCTGACTTATAACTTCGGTTGTCCAAAGCTATCTAAGTTGTGTTGTGAATAAAAAAGTGGGTAAGGTGAAAGAAAATGTTTTTAGTGCTGTTAATCTGTTACTTTGATTGGGCAATGGGGTTTGATATTTGTGCGAATAATTGAATGAGATAAGTATTTGTTGGGTGTTCGATAGTAGTACATGACTCATATGCATAAAAGTTGGTAAGATGAGCATATAAATGCTATTGCGTAATGGAAAGTTACTGTTTGGGAATTGGATATATAGAATAGGGAATTAAATGCATGTTGACCTGTGTGCAGGTGATGAGGAGCCCTAACGCTTCTTTGCCTTGCCGATAAAGAGGGCATTTATTGACATCAACTCTCAACTTTGTAATGTTTCATTTATGTGAAGGTTTGGCTTCAACTTCAAAGAGAACTTGCTTTTGGGTTTGTAGAGATACGTGTCTTCTTGGAGTGAGTTTTGTTTTTTGTCTTTTTTATAAGATATATATATGATCTTATATATAAATTTTGTACAAATTATATTTAATAAATTGGGTATAATTACAACCATTTAAATAAAGATCAATTAATAAATGTTGACGGTCCATTTGTGTAAAACTTAGCTCTCAAAGTGACTTTTTGTCTAAATAAATTTGCAACTTCCGTTTACATTGATAAATAAGGAGGCTCTTAACAAGAGGAGATGGGGATTTTCATATGGTGATGGATCACAATTCAAATTTTATGTGGAAGAAGTAATCGTATTTAGTATCTGATTATGTCTCAGCAAATTTATCACTCACAAAAAAATATACAATTTAATTAAAATGTAATTTTTTCCTATGTTATTTTGAATTTTATATGAAAAAAAATAAATTTTATAATATTTAAATTAAAATTATATTTATAGTCTATTTTTAATTGATTAACATTATATAATATTTAATGTCAAATGTATGGGAGGAACCATGATAAGAGTAGGAATATACCTATCGAGTTTTAAAAAATTACTTGGTCCCTGTCTTTATTATTCACAGTATGTTAATTAGAATATAATTTTTAATATTAATAAAATAAATATTACTAAAAAATAAATAATATTATTCAAAATACTTTAAATAAATACAAAATTATAAATAATTTTTATCTAAATAAAATATCAAAGTATAGTATTATATATATACAGACACAAAAGCATAATAAAATTATTACCTAACGCTTTAATTTTAATATATATATATATATATATATATATATATATATATGTGTGTGTATGAGGCATAATCCGTTAATACTTTTTATAAAATATAAAATTGATAAATCTAATTAATTTAAAAGTTTTTATTAAGTAGATCGATTTTATAAAATTTTATATATAAAAAAGTTAATAAATACTTTAAAATAAATTACAAAGTGAAGACTTTATGAGTCTAATTAAACAATAATAAATATGTAATCTTTGGACAAGATTTGTCATAAAAAAGTAAAAACAAGTTTAGGTTCAGGTAAACATCCTAAATTAGCTAACACATTAGTATATTTTATTAACTTCACTATAAAGATGCATGTAAAATTTTAAGAGTTCACTCTTTGCTCAATTATAGAGTTGGATGTTTCTAATTAGCTATTCCTTGTGCACTACCATTATTTGCTTGATCTTTGAGGCACTTCACCACATTACATTTGAGTCCAAATCAAGTTCTACAAATTTATAGCCGAAAAGTTATGCTAGCTTCAAACTTTCTAATGCTGCCTATATTTCTAGAAAAACTTCGATCCATTAACCAGAATGTCCTTTTGACAAACTACCACATGCTGCAACCTTTACGTCTATTTGTTAGACCTATTTGTGTTGAATCTAACCCAAGGTTCTAAAAAGTATGCCATCTCCTAAAAAAATAAACGTTAAAGAAAATTTTTTGAAAGACTAAAGTTTAATTGTTGATAAATATTTTTTTAAGTCAAGACTACATATTTGATATTATTAATTTGGTCGCTCAAGTATTTTAAAAGTGTTTGTAAGATAATACAGTTAAATAATTAGTAAAAATTATGTTATTTTATCAAACAATAGATAAACTATTAACATTTTAAAAGAAATGTAAAAGCAAATCTGTTCAAGAAGATAGATACTGATGCAAAGCTTTAAACCTTTTAAATCAAGATGTACTAAAATATAAAGAGTTGATC